TATATATATATATGAATATACATATGCCTTCGTGAATTCTTATTGTGTTATTTTTCAATTGATCAGAGTATGAATATTTTTATGGCTCTCAGATATATTTTTACTTTTTTTCTGTAAAATTTCAAAAATTATTCGGAATTATATCTATAGCACCCACGATTAGACGGTCCTGAACTCCTGAGTTTGTATTTGTACATTAGCAACCGAAAGGTTGTAACACTTTTTTAAATGAGTCAAAATGCAACCTGCTCGAATGATTATTACTTATAGATCCATAAGAAAGAAGTAGGCTGTATTCCGAAACTGATTTAAAAAAATGATTTCAATCTTTTAATTGCTGACTGTACATGATGACTGTACATCTGATACATGTCATCATATACATACATACGTACATACATACGTAACAGTAAACTGTTATGGCGGCGTGGGTTGGAATGTGTCGAAACGTTGATGATCGTACAAATAAATATTAAAAATTGTATAACTAATCAGTAAAAATACATTGTGAAGACAGATCGCGTTTATGCACTTACGATTTTTTGAGAACAATTTAAGCAGGTATTCATTGAAAAAACAGGGAAGATACATCAGATACACGTGTTGCTTCGAAAAGTTCGAAGTGTACTCCAAACAATAATGTCAATAATTCTGCAGTTTAATTGTTTGACGCAGAACGAGACTGCGAGAAAAGCAATGGAGAGCTATGTTGAAATCTTGCAAAAAGCATTTGAACATTATCAAAGTAGGTATATATTCTTATTGTCATTTATCTAATTAATATTCTTTTTCTATTAAATATTAAAGGAATGTTAAAATATTTAAAAAATAACATTTATTATATTTACTCACATTTTACTCACATTTTACTCACATACTTCATACTGAACTTATATATTTTTAGAATCGTAGAATTGATCAATTTAGAGTTATAAATACTTTGGAAAACTTTCATATAGAAATACTCAAGTAAGATCGAGATTGGTCATTTAGTCAGCTTCTGATTGGTCTGCCATGTTCGGATAGTGCTTAAGATAGAATGAGATAAACGTATAAAATATATATATATATATATATAAAGTGCGTCGGAGAGATGTTATTAGCGCTTTTTATGTCGTTCTATTTTTGTTTTACGTCTAATTAACGATGAAGATAGAATGACAAAATTAATAGCATTAATAGCGTCTCGATTGATCGCACCTATGAGATACATGAATATATCATTCTTATGCATTATCTATCAACTATCTCATTATATCTTATTTTTATGGCGTTAAAGAGAGAGAAAGCGCTAAGATGCTGAATGCAACAAGTGCAAGCAACGTGAACAAATCCAGTATCTTCGCTTTCTTTCTTTTCAATGCCTGAATATACATTTATCTCTTTTTAAGTGCAAAAATTTTTAGGGATTTTAAGCTGTGTGAACACATTACGAATCATATGAGGTCTATTCGCTTTTGCACTTTTTACACTCGGCATCTTCGCTTTCTCTTTTCAAAGGGAAACCACCAAATATCTATCTCATTTTAAGTGTAAAAATATTTGAGGATTTTATGCGTGAACAGATCTATGAAACACGCGAAAATATTAAATTTGATTTATGTTGCTATCTACAGTCAATAGGTCTGTTCGCGTTGCATGAAATCCTCAAATATTTTTGCATTTAAAATGAGATGGATACATATTTTGTCTTGAAAAGAGACAAAACGAAGATGTCGAGTGCCAAAAGTGTAAGCAACGCGAACAGATCTAATGCCCGTATTCATAGTCAAACTTTATACTTAAGGTTTCCTTAAATTTATTTGCTTAGTAGCCAATGAAATAATTCGTAGAGTATCTGAAGATAAACTTAAGGAAGCCTTAAATATAAGGCCTGACTATGAATACGAGTATAATTATCTGAATCTTGTAACAAACGCTGCTAGTAAATTTTCAAACGACTATCCAAAATTTACTAGATCACTAAACATTGGAAAACGCGCCAAAATTTAAACATTATGATATGCTTTTTGAAAACAATTTTCTAAATTAATTCTTAATTCATGCCGGTAGCTAAATATTTAAAAGCTATTTATATACTGAATTGTTTATATAAGCGATTTGTATAATTGTTGTAATATTTTGTTTTACAGATTTGTGGGAAGATTATATAAAGTTACAGGAAAAGTATAAACAGTGTAATGCGTGAGTTTATAATTATTGTTTATTTATATAATTCACATTTATATAATTTAGATTCTAAGTCAAAATTTAAATTATTTATAACTTATATATAATACATAACTTAATAAATTCTAATAATATTTTAGTTAGCAGTGTGTAATAAAAGTATGTGCATGTATAGCATATACATATATCATATATTGTATAATATACATATAAACATATTATTATTTTAGATTGCATTCTTCATCTCAAGTGACGATTGATACAAAAATAAAAAATGAAGTAACTTCGCAACAGTCGCAACAATCGAATAATGCTGATGAGCAAGAAAATAGTACTCCATCTTGTATTCCATTATTGAGATTAGTTACAAATTCGATTGATTTTAATTCCGATCCAGAACCTAGTCTGTCAGATACAAGTGAATTTTTGCACAAAGATACCAACGAAAATAATCGGCCAGAAAGTCCAATATTCTCTAAAATACGTTCAAAAACTGGCGCTAAATCTGTAAAGAAATTGCGTTTATCTAAAATGTTATGCAGTGACTCAACTTCAGATATGAAGACACATCATGGTGAAAAAGTTTCTTCAAAGTATAATCACAAATTAGAAATTAGTACAACACATCATGTGGAAACCACATTTTTACCAGATGGAAAGAGATTGAAGCAATCTCGACTTGCATTTCATCCAGTCAAAAGTAATGAAAATACAATATTAGCCTCAAATGTAGATAAACATAAACCAGTTAATAGATTGTATAATGTCGAACAGAATTTTACTGAAGAAATTTCTATAGTAAAAGATGCTGAAGAAATTTCTACTGAAAATGCAAGTATTACTGCAAGTACTAAAAAAGGTGCTACAAATAACAGTATTGACATTTCTGAAGATGTGATAGAGGTCAGTCCTACACAGAAAAATATTACATCTAAAGTCAAGCGCCGTTTAAAATTGAAGAGAAAAAATCCTGCAAGAAGTATAATAAAAAATTCTCCGAATAAAAATAAATATCTTAATCATAGACCTGATCCTAGTGTTCCAGAGACAATTAATGTAGATTTTGGGTTATGTCCTTCGCCGAAATATACTTCTACACAAATAGACAATGATAAATCCTTAACGAATACAGTTAATACAGTTAAGACATTGAAAGATAAAGTTAGCACAAATTATCTTTCACCAATAAAAATGGATAATAAAACCAATGTTCAAATAAAACATTCTATTGAAACTCAAAAGGAAGATTTATTATTAATACAGAATTTTAATAACATAAAAGACTTTGCCTACGAAGATGAATTTTTTGATCTGCCAGTAGCTGCAAAGAAAAATAACATTGCTAATTTAAAGGATGAAACAGATGATTCAGAAAACAAGCCACCTGAAAAAAAAGTGTTATTGAATAAATTTAAGGTGTAGGTATTAGTTAGTAATAATTGTGTTAATGTAAGTTGCTCTTATATATGTATCTAATGAAAATATTATTTACAGATTCCCAAAAAGAAAGGCAGATGTTCCAGAACAGCGCAATATGCAATGTAAAGCTGATAGAGAAAAATTAAATGGTTTTGATTGCTGGGAATGCAGAAAAGTAATGTACAATATTAATATGTAATAATTACATAAAATAATTACATAAAATGTATATTAGTACAAAAAGCTTTTAATACTTTTTCTGTAGAAAAATAATTCATATTTGATTTTCAGTATTATCAGAATTTATCACTGTCAAAAGAAGAATTAAAAAAACGATTGAACCAATGCTCACGACATCGACACAAGTACGAAAGGCCAAATACACCAGAAGGTATAAAATTTTATTTCCTTGTCTTTTTTATTACATATGATAAAATATAATTTTTTAAGGTTTTTGGGATCCAGAGTTTCCTGAGACGTTGTCATGCACTTATCGACAATAAGAAAATTGAAGTATGTCTTGTCATTTAAATCTAATTCTCAAGGTTTTAATATGATTTGAGGTAAAATTTATTATAATAATGTAGCTTGTACAAGTTTTCATTATTTTCTCATTTTAAGTTAATTGGATTTGTTATGATTATTTCTATTCTACATGTGCTACACACGCATTCGAATAAAAAAAAAACTATGAGATATTGCAACTTATCATTGATGCAATTAATCAATTCCAACTAATCATTGATTAAAGTTAATTGGAGTTGGTCAAAGTGGCCCTATAAAAGATTAATGATTCCAGAACAGAATTTCGTTTACATATTCATTGTATATAATTATATATCCTAAACATTAATAATCGATAAATATAAAAAAATAT